CTGGCGCTGCCGGCCCGGCTGGGTCTTCCTCGACCGCCTCCGCGTCGTCTGCCCGATTGCCCTCTTGGGGCTCAGCTTGAGGGTAATCCCCAATTACCCTCGTGGGCGTTTCCCTAACGCCTCCGGCCGGGGAATTCCGTCCGCTCGTGGACGTCTCCCCGTTCTCCTCGCTCGAGCTCCCTGACTCGCTGGAGCTCGACCCCGATGTCCCTGACGAGCTTGATGACCTTTCTTGCTCGAGGGCTCGGTCGGGGATTTGCGGCGGTCGTTGTTCGACCTTCGAAGAATTGGACATGATGTCCACCTCTTCGCTGGTTTGCTCGTCCTCGTCGTCGTAGTCTGCGACCGAGATGTTCTGGCTGTCTGAGTCTGACATCTTTTCTGCCTAAAGGTCGGTCGTGGTTAGTACAGGGCTCGGGACAGTGGGTCGGAGTTAGTCCTATCCTACTCCTACGCAAAACTAAAAATAAAAGACAAAGTAAGGAAGAAGAAAGCTTACCGACCAGGAAGACTTTGATGGAGCTTGAAGTTGGTTTGCTCGGTTGATCTGCTGATGTTCACTCGGGACTCTCTGAGGGTGCCGATTGATTCAGAAGATTGAGGAAAGTTCAAATGAGGGCCTCAAGGGCCTATTTATAGGAGAGCATTTGGGCGGGAAACCAATCCACTTGCGCGATGTGACCCGCACTGATTCCGAGGCGACCGTTGCAGTCACAGAGGCCGGCAGTTGCCGACACGTGGCGAGATAAGGAATGACAGCTGGCCGGTCGGTTTGGTAGACGACGGTTGGGCTTCTTCATCCCGTCCCGTTTTTTCCCGGACGGTCAAAAAGGCCCGGGCTGGGGGGCTCTTGGTAGGGAATATCCTGACCGACATAGCTTTACCCCGGCCGGTGTGCCTTTGTCTTTGTCTTCTTGTCTTTGCAGGTAACAGGTCGGGCTTCTTGTGAAGAACCCGGTCGGACCCCGACCGGGAGTTGCCCGAGCAGCAGTGTCGACCACCGAGCGGTAGTCTTTTGGCGAGAGAGCTGACGAGGGACACGTGGCGGCTCCACGCGTTGACAGGCAGGGCACCCGGGACAACGACACGTGGTTGCTACGTGGGAGGCATGCCGAACGGCTGGATTTGTGTCTCCGACTCCGCGGCTATAAATACCTGCGATAGCTACAGTGTGGGGGACTTTTGGACGATCGATAGGTTGTTGTTAGAGAATCCCGACCGCAGTCAGTCGGTACTCAGAGCAACCAAGTAGATTGTACTTAGGGCCTTCACAGTGATCAATAAGAGTTATTTACTTGCTTTAATTGGTCTCGTATTTACTTAATTACCGCTTACGTGGTAATTAACACTATCAAATAAGCTTTGTCAAATATTAAAAAACATAATAGTTAAGAGCAACGATAATGGGAATAAATAAACTATTTATAATTCATTTGTAATTTTTAAGCCCTATTCCAATATTTTATTGTGGGAGGAGCGCTAAATGTTGCTAGTAATTTCATCGCAAAAATCCAACCTTTTGCGATTATAGAACTTTTGGTCCAAAAGTGATGCTCCAACGACAATGAAATAATGGAAATATGCCTTAGGGTTGGGGTTGGAAGAATGAAATAATGGAAATATGGTCATAATGTATCATTATTATCATCTTCGTGTCTAAACGGTTCCTTAATTATCTACTTTAAGAGATTGGACAACCGTTAGTGTGATAAGTAAATGATACTTATCCATATAAAAAAATTCCAAGACGTTTTTCAAACATAGGCTAATTGGTTTGTAACATTCATTCAAGGAGATACTCGAGGTTGAGACAATATACTTGATTTCCCAAGTCTTTCATTTCAAAAACTGTCTTTAGGCATTCTAATATCATTAAGCTCTTTATGTATTTCAATCGAATTTATACCATTCATATGGACTAAGATAATGGATAAATAACTCCATTAGCTACTCCTTAATGAGCACATAATGACACATATTATCTACATATTCCTTCTTCTAGAGAAAAAAATACTTAGTCAATTATTTACTTTTCAGGTCATATAAAGACCTTTAATTTGTAATTTAATAATATACATGTGATTTTCATTTCTCATTTTGAGAACTTTAAATCCTTCGGGAACTTTTCAAAAATAAAAATTATGTGCATGCATATCTAAAATTGTTATTTACTGCCAATGATATTAGGTAGCGGAACTTAATGTCATTTATGGGTAATATATTTTACTAAAATCAATTATGGATTTTTGTGTGAACCCTTGGGCTACAATCCCATTTTATATCATATCACCTAATTATTCTTATTTCTCTTTCGTACAGACACTCATTTGTAACCTACGAGGTTAACATTCAATGGTGTACCTATTATATAGAGTTCGTTTTCGCTCTCAATAAAAATCATTAATTGATACAATAATTCACCGAGGATATATAGATCATCGTGTTGATAACATGTTGTGAATTTGATAGTATCCTCGCGTAGATACTGTATGGTTTCGATCGGTAGAGAGCAACAAACATATAAAGTAAAGAGAAAATCAGAGGAGAAAAGAACAGGTTGAACTCAGAAAACGCTAGCCCCTAATCTTTATTAGATAGGGGATGATATATATACACATATACATATACAAATAAAAATTAAAAAAAAAAAATCGTATCTAATAGAAGAGTAAAACTAAGGTAATGGCCACATAAATAGATACATTTACAACAAAAACATCCTTTTCAGATCCAGTTCATCGTCAGTGCATGAACTCATAGCTTCACATGATCGAGTAAGCACTGTAGTCTGATGAATCAAGATTTTTATTGTTTTTTAGAAAATATATTTATTATAATCCTACGAGTTGATGATTTGTAAACGATACTGACAATATTCTCAGCTGAATTAAACACTATTAATATAAACTATTAAACACTATTAATGATACTGACAATATTCTCACTAAAAACTATTTAAGAATTGAAAAGCCTTCCTTTCACTATTAAAAGTCATGGACTAATGAGAATTCTTTTCTAATAACATTAAGATTTTTTTATATTAAAAAAAAAAAAAAAAAAAAAAAAAAAAAAAAAAAAAAAGAAGAAGAAGAAGAAGAAAGATAGAAGTGTCAATTGTCAAATAGCTTCATCTATTATTCACAAGTCCTTAATTAACCCCTTGTTCTAATATAAGATCTAATTAGTCACATTTACTTTTAAAATTATGTTCACTTAGCATTTTATATATTTTAGTTTTCATTAGGTAACTGTTCCATAATGCTGACATGGAATTTAAATAAAAATAATTTAATGATTCGTTTCATTGTTGACTTATTCAAACCAAGAGAAAATCACTACTCTCTCCCTCCTCATCCTCACCACCATCATCGTGGCTACCAATCTGAAAATTATTTGTTTCCCTCACTTGTTACTTGTGTGCGGGCCTAAATAATCTCACAATATCTTTAGTATGGGGTTGCTGAAACTTTCTATGGTTGTATGATATTTATATGCCTATTACCCTCCTCTTTCATGCTTTGTTGTAGAGTTTGCATCCGTCCTGAAACTCTTCGCCGCCTAATTCCTGAACATGCTCGGAGGCGGAATTTATTCATGGCCTTACGCTCCTAGTCACAATTGCAATTTCATTTTTCCTGTTTGGTTCAGATGCCTCGGTTGGGCGTGCACCAATTGTAAAATGTCCTATTATCTACGAGGTATTTGAAACCAAATTTGCCGGTAAACTTTGAACTGAATAGCCAATGAGTGCATCTATTCTGTTCATTTTGGATGTGCAGAGTGTCAATATATAGTTCTATCACTCACCAACCTTTCACGAGCATACAAGGGACAACCTAAATGGTAGTGCAACAGTGATGGTAGTGGTGAGGATGATGGATTGAAGAGAAGCATTTTGAAAATCAAGTCAATTTTTCAACATTCTCGAAGGTTGTTAGTTTCAAGAAGTAGGGCCGGTGAATTCCAAACTCTCTCTTTGTGCTTCAATAGGTTAAGAAAGTATGTATGTACAGATACAACATTGTAATAGAGTCAATAATATCAACGCACCCAAAAAAAAAAAGGTAACATATAAAAAAATTTGTTAACTTAGATGGTTAAGTAATTATAATTCAATAGTCAATGTACTTAGTTGGTAGCAATTAATTGTTGAGCTGCAAATCTAGCAATATAGTACGGAGTATTTTGCAATAATTGACGAATTGGATTTTAAATTTATACGTGAATATTGAACAACAAGCCTCCGTAGCATAGTGGTAGTGCGTTCGCTTCGTAAGCGAAAGGTCGCGAGTTCGATCCTCGCCGGGGGCTTTTTTTACCAGTTGTCCCCTAAAATCACAGCGTGAAGCTAAGATGAATAATTCTCATTAATTAGACGTGTTTAACCATTCATTGAAAACCTCGACAAGTAATTGTGAATTTGGTGATTTAATCACTTGTGATTTTTATTCATTTAGAGTTATTACAAATAGCATCCCTCACCATTTATAGATCATCTAAAAACAGAAGCTTTCATTCTTCTCCTTCTATCCTCGTTTTTATATCTTTATATTTGAGGAGTGTTTAGCGCATTCCAACTGTAGTTAATGAATGCAGCATGCTAGCTACTACAGAATAGTTGTGTACCCTCAATGCCCAACGTCGTTCTTTATGCCTTGCACCTAGGCACAGGTAAAATTGTTCTAAAAGGCAGTGGGCCATTTTCACACCATAGCTTTAATTTTTGCTACATGATCGATTTTTACAATAGTTTTCTTTGTCTCCTTTTGTAAACACACAAACTTTGATAAAGATGAATATTTTTTGAATATTTAAATATATTTTAGATAATATTAATATTATTTAATTAGAAAATATCAAAAGAGTTTGGATTCGCCTGAAAAAGAGATTACTTAGACGCAATGATATTCTTGTGATTTTTTAAATAACATATAACATCTATTTAGTAAAGTAATTGAAACTGTAAAATTTTGAGCTACTGAAAGAAGTATTCACAAATCTGTTACTACACTGCCATTCATATAAAACCAGAAATGAAAAGCTGAAGCACACTGTCCAAATTTAAGCATTGAATGACAGGAAATCAGAGCTCTAAGCTAAAGAGAATTCTGGGAAGAGATATACAAGGTGGTTTTGAACAGATTGACATCACTATCAGTATACTGTTAGTACACTTGAGTGGAAACTGGAAAGATTTTCCTTCAAAATCCATCCAACTGCACTTTCGCGTTCTTCATATAATCATACTCATTACAAAGCCGATAAAAATCAGGGAAAAAAAAAACGAGATGGGAAATTACTGACCGACACGAAGCATTGAAAATGGAGGAAAGAAACAAAGTAGCTACTTTGTGAACAACTGCCTGCGCCTCGATGGTTTGTTCCTCAAGTTATCGCCCTCGCCTCTCACTATTTCGCCAATTAAGTCTTTAAAGACCAAACGCTCGACATCAAGCACAATAGCCGAGATTTCATGGTTGAAATCTGTCCAACTCCCTGACCGGTGCAACACATCCTCCCACAATATGTTTTTCAGCTCATCATCCTCGTCCTCCACCTCGCATTTGGATGATTTAGCTTGAAGCTGTTCGATTTCCGAGCACAGCTCTCTAAGTAGCTTTTGTGCGTTCAGGGTGTTCTTCGCTAACTTCTGGGGCTTCACCCACGGCTCGGAAAAGGTTCCAAGAAAAGCCAGTTTCGTAGCAAGGATTTCATTTACGAGATCAAAAACAAGCTTACGGTGGACCTTCTCTTTGGACTTGAATTGGGCGATATTTTCTTCCTTCACTGAAGTACTTGCCCTGGTTTGCTCCAGAACCAAAAACAACTCGGGATTGATTGGGAGGCCGGATGGATGGAACTGGAACACCGTTATGCTTGACCCGATGTCTCTAAGGAGAAGGCCCGAAGCTAGTAAAATTTCGGAAACATATCTATGATCCGGGTTGGTGTTCTCACAGAGCGACGCAATATAATCTGTGCGCCCTTCATCGTGACTAGAATTCAACCTTCTCAGTTTCTGAACAAGATTCTCAATGTTCTGTAGTTTCCTTCTGTTGAACTCCGGGGGGGTAATCCCGGAACCAATGTTGTTCGACAACAGATCATCAGACGGGTTACTAGAAACTCTATCAGGATCCTTGTATCCATTATCATCTGTTACATAAACATAATGAAGTCATATTTTTGAGAACCCGAATAATAATGTTCAGAGACAACCAATTTTCCTATGTTAAGAAAGAGGATAAATCAGAGGAAAGAAAATACCTAGGACTTCGGGGACACGTTTCCCAGGCAAGGGTGATTCATCTGTGTACACGAGATTGTCGAGGACAGAAACGGGACTGGGATACTCGGGGGCAACCATAGCAGCCAATGATCCATCTTCGGGAAGCACAGAAGTTGGTCTCTGAGTAAATGAAGAACGTCAAATATGTTGGACTTATTAAATTTTCTCGAAGCGATAAATACAATAGAAGGTAAGGTACCTTTTCTATGCAACTAGAAATCAAGGACTCAACAGATTTCATACGACTCTGGATGCTGTTTTTCTCGAAAGACGCTAAAGAACTAGTGACTTCTATATCTTCTTTTGAGTCTGATATAACGCTCCCGTTTGATCGAACGGAGATTTCATTCTCACTCAGTTGGTCATCGTTTTGCTGGGTAGTGGAAATCTTTGGCCTGCGTCTTCCACCGGGGGAGTTGGACTCCATTGGTTGCTTGTTTGCTTGTTTTCTCGATCTGTTAGGATCAGATGGGGGTGTGGGTGGCCGAGATCGCTTCTCCAACTCGAGTTTCTTTTGTTGCAATCTAGGGCTGATGGATCCCGAGGTCTTTAACGAGCCCGAGGTGCTTTCTTTGGACCTAGCTGAAGCCTGTGAAGATTTAGAAGTTCTATTGTTGGTTCTTGAATCAGAGGAATTGATTATGTTCACTCTTTGATCTTTGGCTCCCTTTCTACCCTGATGTTTGGAGGGACAGGATGAGCCATCGAGTGGAATCACCGAAGAACGTGGAATACCAGATTCTTCCATGAGTTTTGCTGGCTTCATGATTACAATCGGGGACTCGAAGTGCCTTAACGAATTAGACCCCCTGCTCGTGGAACCAGTCGCTTGATCACTCTGCCTTGTTCGTTGGTGTGTAAACTTTGCAGTCTGTAGAGAACTAGCATACTTTTGTTGATGCTCCTTTTGACCCGAACACTTCGATTCCTCGACTTTTTGGGTTTCGAGGAGTCCCTTCACCTGCATTGCTTCCAGTATCTGCTTAAGCGCTCTGAGATCCTTGCCAGATTCAGTGAATTCAAGATCCTTCAATCTCTTCTCTATCTCGCTATAAACAGAAGGAAACGAGTTGGGAAGCTTCGCGGGAGTTTTCGTGTTCCTAGATGTTTGTTTCTCAGATGCTCGTGTCTTGTCAAAATGCCTCCAGGGCGCTGGCTCGATCGGAAATCTCGAGGCTGGCTTCATTGCTGAATCGGGGTTCCTCCAACGAGGCGAAGTCGGATCCTTCCACAGGTTTCTCGTGGAGCTAGAAGTTTGGATATGTTTACATTTGTCACTTACTTCCGAAGACCTCGAGAGCGGGAGTGGATCATCAACTCGACAATTCTTGGTCGACCTCGTATCACTATCACTCGGTGTCGAAGAATCGGGAAGTGTTTCCAGACCCATTAGCTTAGCTACAACACTCGGAGGCCGTACCGAAGCCTCTCTACTACTGTCAAGTGAAAGTCTTGGGAGCTGTTTCAATGCAGATTTGGAAACGTCACGTGATTCAAAGGATAGATGACGGGTTTCCTTCCCATCATATGAAAACCGAGGAGCATCTTTGGAGATAGCAATAGAAGAACCATCTTTCGAGTGGTACGATGATGATCTCGAAAGTTGCCTAGGCTCATTGTAGTACCAAGGAGCTTCTCGAAGTTTAGCAAGAACTCTAAGAGATTCTTTAAGGTCAACGGGCGTATTCTGCTTTGCATAGAGTCCCGGTCCATAGCTCCCGTCAAAGGTTTGGGAAAGTTGCAATGGCCTAGGAGAATCCCGGTGCTTCGTAATAGATTCTGCCACCTCCTCTCTGAGTGTCGATTTCACCTGAGATTCTCTATTCATAGAGTCCTTAACCACGTCCCGAATATCGAGGCTTTGCCGACCATATTGAGACGTTTTTATCTGGTTCATTGCTTGGTCTCTCGAGGGAGTTTCGGGAAAAATCACGCGATCAAAAGCCATGGGCTCTGGCTGAACTGTTCTATTACAATCAAGAGAAGAGAACGAAGAGGAGCGGGATGAAGACGAGAACGAGGGTCTCGATGATTCTGTGGATAACCTTTGTTTCTCCTGAACGTTTTTATGAATTTGGTTATCCTGCAAAGAAAAATCATCATTCACTTAAAAGACAGAAAAAAAAAAAAAAAAAAAAAAAAAAAAAAAAAAAAAAAAACAAAGAAAATAATGGAAAAGTAGAGTCTAAATAGTCCTTACTGGTCTCGGGTAGATACTGCTAAACTCTTTTTCAGAAGTGTCATCGTTGAAGTGAGGACTACCTGCAAAAACAACATAATATGCAACATTAAAACGGGGCAAATGACAGAAGACTGAAGCAAATACGTAAAAGATCAAGAAACTGAATCCATACATCTCATACTACTTTTGGAAAAGATCAAGAATCAATACTTGAGATCAGAAATCTAAGTGGTCCTGTAGGGCTATAAAATTGAGTATTACTATCAAAGAAACAGTTCACTAGCAAAAAGGAAAGATCTTTAATGTCGCGGGCTTAACATGCCCTGCTTGTAAACGTTCACTTCGTTAGTTCATTTGGCACATACAATCAATCTTGTACAAAACCACAAAACACACTAAATGTCTTTATTGTATAGTAATAAACAAAAAACGATTAGCAACGACTAGGTGATCAAAATCGAGTCTTGACATGAAAAATACGATTAAAAATAGAATAGCATCTATCCATTAAAGGAATCCATACGGAGAGAGCTTTATATTGATTGCACGACATTGACAAACAAGCAAACGCGTATTAGTAACTCTTTAGCTAGCACACTAAGCGCCACACAAGATATGTCCTATAAACACGAGAGCAATATCAGAGCTAGGGTTCTTCAACTAGGCAAAGAAAGTAAGCCAATGGTACCTCTCGGTACTAGGAAACATTACCAGAAATCAATCGTTTAGGGCTGTGGCCAACCATACGCCTTCCTCCAGTTAGCATATTTTGACGATCAAAGAGCTGAAAGATCCCTGTCATACACCCAATCTGCTTTTGCAAATCTGGGTTGTCATCGGTCAACGAATGCAAAAGCTTAGCAGCCATATTTGCTCCCCCTTCTTCACCAACAACACAAGCTTAAGCTTTCAATTCCCACCTCAAAAAGGGATTATAATATTCAAACCCCCATAATTTCAACTGGAACTCCCTCTCCAAATCAGCTCTCAGCTGTAATCCCAAATAAGAAACAACAGTCTCTCTACAAATATAAGTACCTAATTTGTAGTCAAAGTATAAATCTAGAATCCCCTTCTCCTCCTATAGCCATTGCTAGCTCCCTGCATCTACTTCCATTTTTCCCTTCAAATGTAAGGGAAACCAAAACCCAAAACACAATCCTTCTCCAAATTAACGTAAAGATTTACTCAATCGTGAGTTCTTCACAGCTTCTCTCAAGCAAACATCCAAAATTTGTACTCAAATCCTAGTAATTTACAGGTAATCAGAAGTTATTAGCACCAACCACCAAGACATCAACTTTTGTGCACAATAAATTTCCTTCCAACAAGATCCTTCAAAGAAAAATGGTCGATTTTGCCTCTACATTCAACCAGTCATAAACAGAAGCAAAAATTCAAGATACCCAGACAACAAAATCAAATCTTTATTTTTTTTTTCATTATATAGAGGACAACATACAACAGAACTTGGTAAAAGCCATGGCAACAAACAATCAATGGAAACCCATTACCTTGAGCTCCCAAGAAAGTAAATGCCAACACAGATCTATCCAAGAAGAAAATGCAACAGGAGAAAATTCCAAAATGCAAGAGATTGCGACGAAACTACCAAAAAAAAAATTAAAAGGGGGGAAATTAAATGTGAAGGAGTTGCAACTAAAACTACTGTAACCGCTTTATTATTATCCTTTATTATGGAGAGGGAAATGCAGGGAGAAAGAGCAAGAGAGAGAAGAGAGAGAGAGAGAGAGAGAAGAGGCACTGAGGCAGATGTCTTGCAGGCCTTTCCTCACACTTCCATGTGGGATGATAATAGGGGTGGGTCTAAATCTGTCTGCATGGTCATGTGCTCTTGTCAGGACTCTAGCTAAGGAATTTGGGGCTTCTCATGCTCCAAGCCTAAAACCTTCATTTTTTTCTTTGCTGGATAATCTTCTTTTCTTTCTTTTCTTTTCTTTTTGTATTCTTTATAAATATGATGGTATTTATACTTTCCTTACTTTAACTGGTCGTTTGGTTGAAAGGAAGAAATTATGATGGAATCGAATTGTAATTCAGTGAAAAAATAAGGTAAGAATAAAGTAGGAATTCAAATTACAATGTTTGGTGTGTAAAATAATATTACAGGGAATTGAAAGGGAATAAGTGATGATGCAATGATTGAAATGTCCTAATAATAATAATAATAATAATAATAATAAGGAATAAGGGTCAAATAGGCCACTGAACTGCACACCAAAATGCAATTAGGCCATCGAACTCAAAAACAATGCAATTAGGTCCCTGAACTACACAAAATCATGCAATTAGGTCCAAAATGACTTGTTTACCTGAAATGCAGGTTACCAATTTTAAAAATAATTTATAAATATTTTTTAAAATAAAATAATTAATTAAAAGTATATAATTTAAAAAGAAGAAAAAAAAAAAAAACGAAAACTAAAACTGTCGGAGACGAATCGTCTTCGACAGTCTTTCGTCTCCATGGCCGGAGACGAAGAGCTTCGTCTCCCTGGCCTAGGAGACGAAGGCTTCGTTTCCATGGCCGGAGACGAAGCTTTCGTCTCCGGCCATGGAGACGAAGCTGCCGGAGACGAATCGTCTCCGGCAGTTCTAGTTTTTTTTTTTTAATTAATTATTTTATTTTAAATTATATTTAAAATTTATTTTTAAAATTGATAACCGCCACGTCAGCACAATTTCAGGTCAACATGTCATTTTAGACCTAATTGCATGAGTTTGTGTAGTTTAGGGACCCAATTGCATTATTTTTGAGTTCGATGGCCTAATTGCACTTTAGTGTGCAGTTCAGTGGCCTATTTGACCCTTATTCCTAATAATAATAATAATAATAATAATAATAATAATAATAATAATAATAATAATAATGCCTTCAGGGACAAAAATGTCTTTCCCATCTCCAATTCAACACTGAATTACAATTCCTAGGGGGAGTCCGGAATTGTAATTCAGCATTTGGAAGAATTGCAATTCCCTCCAACCAAACAGCGTAATTGTGGTCTCCGCGAAATTGCAATTCAACCGCACCTAAACTACTTCTAACCAAATAGCCCGTAAGTTATAAGGTAATTATAGAATCCGTCCATACTTATTGGTTATGCTCACTTTTCGTTCTTAAATTATAACTGATATTATAAATTTCATTTTTTTTTAGTAAAACATTAGAGGAGAAATTTGCGACGTTAGTTATAGTTTAGCGTCAAAAAGTGAGCACGACTTATTAGAAAAAAAAAATTGTAACGTAAATTAAAATTTAGGGATGAAGAAGTGAGACGACAAACAAGTATGGATGAATCTTATCATTACCCCATAATTTATGGTTGAAAAGTGTAATTTTTTTCATTATCTTTGTTTTTTATTCCCTCGTCCTATTTGGTCCTGTTTGGTAATATAGTTAGCTTATCAGCCAATTTTGACTTATTCAACTACTATTAGATGTTTGACTTGGTTAACCAATCAGTATGAGTGTTTGATTAATTAGCTTTTTGTAATAACTGATTGCTCCAAAATTCTAAATTCTAAAACAGCTTTTTCGATCAGCTTTTTGAGAAAGTCATTTTGCATGTAATCAGCTACAGCTAATAGCTAATTTACCAAATATTTTTCTATAATCAGCTAATGTTATCAACTAGTCAAACATACTAACTCAATTAGCTAACATCTATTTACCAAACACTCTCTTTATGTGTTTAGTTCAGTTAACGAGGACAATGGAATAAAAAACAAATATATACTCCTAAACGACTTGAGTAAAATCATCAAAATTGATTACTCAATTAAGCACAAAATATTATTTAGGACTAAATTGAGAAAAATCAGACTGAATTGAGTATTAAATCGTTCACTTTTTAACCATAGCACACAAGGGCGTACTGCATTGTTTATTAGTTATTGGTTAAGTATTGATGATTAGTTATTTGATTTTTGAATATTGAATTAAAACTTTAAAAAAAAAAAAAAAAAACATTGTTTAAAATGTAATTGCCAATAAAGTTTTGCCCAGGGGGGTAAAGTCTTAGATTATTCTCCTTACATCAAATGTATTGTAGGTTAAATATTTTACTTTTGCTTTATAAAAGGTCGTATTTTTTTATATTATAAAAGGTAATTAGAACTGTATTTTTTTTTTTTTTGTGGTATTATAATCTTTATTGTCAAAGGGTTAACTAAAACAGACCAAACCAATCCAACTCTATTGACTCTTGTCAAATGTCATCAAATGCAAAACAACAAAATTTCCAAGTGAATAATTCATTATTAAACAGAAGATTAGGTAACGAATTATTCCTATTTTCTTTTCATTTTTGCAAATTAAATAAGCTTGACTTCAGTTCCGCACCCTCCCCCCCCCCCCCCCCCCCCCCCATAAAAAATAAAAAAAAATAAAAACTTTTTTGTATGCCCATCCATCTTCAACTCATTCCTTCTCTTTTTTTTTTTTTTTTTTTTTTTTAATTGTTATTAAGCAAAAGTCAGTCGATATATTACATGTACACCTTTTTACTTTTACCGGAAAAGTGAAAAGGTTGAATCTCGAGTACCTCTACGTCTAAGGGATGATGTAAATCATGGTAACTCAGTTAAACACACACAAAGAGTCCCCTCGCTTTGAGAGGTTTCTCCTACACTATCACTGGTCTGGTGAGATTCGATCCAGGATCATTATTCCCAAACTTCAGGAACAACTGAGCTACGCATAGAAAAGTGAAAAAGGTGATGCTAAAAATTTGCTATGGTTATCAACTAAAAAAAATAGTAAGTATATGTTTTCGTCACGCGAGTTACATTGAGTCATCATAATGACTAAGGATCCGTTTGAAAACTCGTAAAATGACTTCTAGAAAATGTTTTTCAAGTTTTCAGTATTTGGATACACTAGAAAAATTCAGTCAACGGAAAACATTTTCCGTTGACTGGAGAAAATGAAGCCATTTTGGCGGAAAATGACTTTCGCCAAAATTTGGCGGAAGTCATTTTCCGCCAACAACCAAAACATGGTTTCTGCCGGTTTCCGGCGGCTAGAAACCAGTGCTGTTTTTTTTTTTTTTTTTCCTTTTTAAGGCTTCCGGTGACCTCGGAATGCAGATGGGGTGGAGGGGGCCAGCGGCAGCATTGGATGAGGAGGCGGACAAAGAAACCAATGATGGCGGCAGACCACTACTCTCTTGATACCGTATATAGATTAAGTCCAGAGAAAGAAATTTGGCCGACAAACACCTAATCGGCGTACACCGTATAGAGAAAGAAAATCGACGATGGAGTGAGGGAGGGAGCGTTCCATAGATTTCAATGAAGAAGAAGACATGCCCAAATTGTCCACTTTCAATTGCAATTTTATTTTGGTTTCTATATTTTAAATAAAATAAAATAATTAAAATTTTAATTATACAATTCTACTCATTTTCCAGAAAATAAATCAAACACACAAAGATAGTTTCTTGTTGTGCATCCAGACACCGAAAATAAAAATATTTTTTTAGAAAATAACTCATTTTTCAGAAAACATTTTCCAGATATTATTTTCTTGCTCCCCAAAGGACCCTAAAATGAAAATATGAGTAATATAACTTGTAAAAATAACAATCATCCATACATCTTTTAGCCAGTTAGGTTTAGGTGTTGAGCAAATATATATATATATATATATATATATATATATATATATATATATATATATATTTATTTACGAGAATGTTCGAAGCCGTTATCTGGATACGCATTTTGGGTGAAGCTCGCTTTGTGAGTTGCGATCTTAACCGGTAATTAAAGAACCACAAGAAAATAAACTAGTATAAGTTACTAATAGTTGGCTAACTCAAATTAATAAGACCAATAAATAATTCTTGAGAGAAATCAAATTTAAAATCTTGTGTTTATTAAACAATTGCCCGACCAATCAACTTATTGGATGGATTCTCCCAAATATAACAAATTTCAGCAGAGGTCCCTTGTCTATAGTGGCAATTCCGAATATAGTCCCAGACTATCGTTTTTGCCATTTAATGTCCTAGACTATTATTTTTTGGACACTTTTAGTTCTTCTCATGACTTTTCCTATTTTTAGTAAGGGAATTTTTGTCTTTTCATATTTTTCTTTTATTATTTTTCTGGTTTAATTAGTTTAAAACTTTAGGTAACATCTGATTTTTAGTAACCATATTTTTCAACCAATTTTTAGTAAGGTCCTAAACCAATTAAACCGGTTGAAACCGAAAAATAACCAAAGTAAAATATGAAGAGACAAAAATGCCCTTACTAAAAATAGGAAAAGTCATGAGAAGGACTACAAGTGTCTAAAAAATAATAGTCTGGGATGTTAAATGGCAAAAACAATAGTCTGGGACTAAATTTGAAATTGTCACAAAAAACAAATTAAAGGACCTCTAGTGAAATTAACTCATAAATTTCATGAAGCATGAAATGATAAAAATTGGTCATGACGACGTATGTAAACCTCATCTTGGGCAACGAAGATGACAATGAAAAAGTACCTCTTCCGAACGATGATATGCAGTTCAACACAGTTGATAGGCTACCCTCTGATAAACAAGTCAAACTCACAAATTTTAGATCGGGTGTGTATTTTCAGACGTAAATATTGTCAATGCACAAAAGAATGAAAATGAATACCCAGGTGTTGTGCAAGACTTTTAATTTCAACTAGAGTTAGTCCGGTTTACGTTTGGCTAGATCATAATGACTTTAAAGAAGCTTTAAAAGTTCCTTCAAAGACCTCAACTTCCAATTTGTGAAACAATCTGAAAATCAAGTTTTCTGTAACTTAAGGATCGATTTTTTTTCTGTGTTAGACTGTAAAGAATAGTTTACCATTCCATTAAACTTTGTTGTAAGCGTTTCATGTTATGATTTAATAAACTCCTTTCTTTTTTAAAAATAATAAGTAGTTGCCAGATAGCAAACGGCATTCATGGTGACCATTTGCCATTGGTTTCTGCAAACCTGGCTTTTCATGTATTTAATGCCAACTAGCAGTGTAATTGGGAGCTTATTTTATACTATATATATCTATTAATCTATGACAGAAAAGATATGAATATATTTTTTTTCCTTTTAAAATAAAGACAGGGGTAAAACTGACCACTCATATATTCTAAACCTTAATTATACAACGTTGTAACGAATTAATGCTCAATCATGGATTTGAACAGCCTAAACATGTTAAATAACTAACCTAGCTAATTAAGTATATATGGTGTCTGGCTGGTATGTTCGAGACCACTCAATATCTTGCACCTATTTCAGGGTTCCTCTGCTCATATATTCTATTAATCTATTATATTGAGAAATAATGTTGTTTTTTATTATTATATTAAAGAAATGTTTGAATTAAAAAAAAAATTTTAATTATCTTGCCCAAATATTAATGGAGAACACATTGCTTATGAGTGACTCTCCCAAATAAGATGTTATAGATTTGAGCCTTAGTAGAGGTGATATTAACTCTTTGTCAGTAGGTTGAGAAAACAGTTATGAACACTTTATACTTAGTAGATTGTGAAAGTAGCTATAAACAGATACTACATTGTAACATATTAGAGTCAGTATAGTATTAAAAAAAATTAATATAGAACGTATTAGAATTGAATTTATTTGAAAAATGAGATTATGACACACAAATTCATGTGTTTAACAAAATTAATGTTTTGGAGATTACTCTGCTTTTAATTCCTTAACTATAGTAATATTTTAATTTGGATAAATCATCAAAATGGTCTCTCATGCATTATAATAATTTTATCATTTTAATTCTCGATTTTCAATTTTATCTAATAATAATGTCTTAAGTTATCAAATTTATACCTATTTTAATCTTCTAAAGTATTAAATTATACATGTATTAAACATTTGATAAAACAATATAATGAGCCTAAATGACTAAAATAGGTATAATTTTGATAGTCAAGAATATTATTGGATAGAATTGAAAGTCAAAACTTTAAAGACCAAAGTAGTGAAATCTTAATAATCAATGGATCATTTTAGTAATGTAATATTTTCAATTTTAGTTCTTAACTTTGACGTGTTCCACTTGTAATATTTATTATTATTTTTAAAAGATTCATTTTTATTCGAAATGACCAAAACAACTTCACTTTGTGAGAACTTCACCAATTCACCTTATTGTATTTAATGACATTTTGATAATTTTAGATCTAAGAGTGGAAGGTATTTTAAAGTTTATGGTTAAAAGTACAATAAATCAAAATTAATGACGAAAAGTTAAAATGTCACTATAGTTGATTGACCAAAAATAAACTAAACTTTAATTTAATCGAAAAATATTTCATGGACCAAAATTTTTACCAAACGTATAACCAAATGTTTTTGTGACTTATTGTTATTAATTGATTTTTACAAAATCTCCTTTTAGATTGGCTAATGACATTATATATATATATATATATATATATATATATATATATATACACACACACACACTTCATCAACAAATGATGAAAATTTTGGTCCATTAGAAAAAAAAGTCTTGTGTGTGCAAATGCGTCAACCCATCAAACAACGGCAAATTATAGTGATATGTAGACGATGAGGATTTGATTATTGAATATTATTGAATCCAAAAACAACTGAGTCTGAACAAGTGATAATATAGAGAGTAGATAAAGAGTCCTAATGAACAACTAATATAAGAGTCCTAATACTCCCCCTCAAACTCAAGACGGAGCAGCTGCAACATTGAGTTTGTCCCGTAGAAAGGAAAATCGAGTTGACGGAAGAGCCTTGGTGAAAACATCTGCCAGTTGATCCTTCGTAGAAATAAAGTGAACCTGAAGCTCCTTCTTGGCAACCTTATCACGAACGAAGTGATAATCAATCTCCACATGCTTCGTTCGGGCATGAAACACCGGGTTTGAACAGAGGTAGGTGGCACCCAAGTTGTCACACCACAGAGTTGGCGCAGAAGCCGGCGGAAAACCAATCTCTTTAAGTAACGAAACAAGCCACGTAACCTCAGCCGAGACATCAGCTAAGGCCTTGTATTCAGCCTCAGTAGACGAACGCGCCACCGTGCGCTGCTTCCTGCACGACCAGGAAACCAGATTGCTGCCCACATAGACTGCAAAGCCACTGGTAGACTTTCTATCGTCCGGATTGCCAGCCCAATCCGAGTCAGAAAAAGCATGGACAGCAGAAGACAGAGAGCTGCGAATACGAAGACCAAGACCAAGAGTGCCCTTAACATACCTTAACACCCGCTTCATCAGACTCCAATCAGTCGTGGTAGGAGACTGCATGTGCTGACAGAGCCTATTGACTGCATAAGATAAATCAGGCCGAGTCACAGTCAAGTACTGCAGGGCACCCGCAATGCTGCGATAATGAGTAGGGTCGGCATAAGGAGTAGTGTCAGCATCATCAGACCGAACAACCGAAACCGGGGTCGAAACCGGCTTGCAATCCACCATGCCGGCCCTCTTAAGAATGTCCTGAATATAACGCCTCTGGGAGAGTAGAATACCATCCGAGAGAGGCACAGTCTCAATGCCAAGAAAAAACGACGGAGCCCCCATATCCCGAATCTTGAACTCCGCAGCCAGCTTGGCCACAATACCTGAAACCCGCTGTGGATCTGAGCCCATAACCAGAATGTCATCGACATACACCAAAAAATACAATTGCACAGCACCATCAGAATAGATAAATAACGACACATCAGTTTTAGAAGGAACAAAACCAACCGAACAAAGAAAATCGTGCAACCGAGTGAACCAAGCACGAGGGGCCTGCTTCAAACCATAAAGAGAACGTTGCAGAAAGCACACATGATCAGCCAGGCGGCTGACGCATGTACACCGTCTCAGCTAGAGAACCATTCAGAAACGCATTGTGAACATCCAATTGCCGAATGGACCACCCACGGGAATAAGCTAAGGAAAGCAAAAGCCGAACAGTGGTAGGCTTAACAACCAGACTGAATGTCTCAAAAAAGTCTTTCCCGACAACCTGATTAAAACCCTTAGCCACCAGCCGGGCCTTGTGGCGCTCAACAGATCCATCCGCATTACGCTTGACCCGAAAAACCCACTTACACCCCACAACATTCATACCCGGAGTGTAAGGAACAAGACGCCATGTATGGTTCTGTAGCAAAGCGTTAAACTCCACATCCATAGCCTCACGCCACTCTGGATGGCGCACAGCCTGTGAATAACATGTGGGCTCAAGATCATCAGCAGCAGTGAACAAAGCAACATGATCCTTAGGGCCCATACTCCGTGTACCCATCACATGAGACCGCGGCCCAACAACCTTGGCACCACGACCCCGACGTGGCCGACCACGACGAGCAACCTGTCCACAGTCAGATACTGTCCGCTCACTAGAATCCGAATCCTGAACCACGGGGATAGAAACCGGTTGCTCCTCCCTAGCAGGCAAAACCGGTGCAGGAACAGCAACAACGGGGGCAACACCCCACGGAACAGCCCCAGGCTTAGCAACAACCTGCGTAGAAACACCACTAGCAAATGGAAAAACAGCCTCATCGAATCGCACATGGCGACAGATAAAGACTTTATTAGTGACAGTATCTAGACAACGATAGCCACAGAAAGAGTCAGGATAGCCCAAGAAAATACACGGAGACGAACGATACTGCAATTTATTACGATTATATGGACGCAGTAGAGGAAAACAAAGACAACCAAACACACGCAAAAAGGAGTAAGACGGAGGGGATCGATGCAGACGATAATGAGGAGACTCATTGTCTAAAACCCGAGTAGGCATCTTATTAATTAAATAGACTGCCGTTTCAAACGCAAAATCCCAATAACGAGAGGGAACTGAAGCCTGAGCCATTAAGGCCAACCCCGTCTCCACGATATGCCTATGACGACGCTCTACCCGACCATTTTGTTCATGTGTATACGCACAGGACTGCCTGTGACGAATACCAAGAGACACAAACGTAGAGTGGAGCTTTTTGTACTCTCCCCCTAAATCAGATTGAATGGCAATTATTTTATGGGAGAATGAACGCTCAACAAGAGAGCGAAAACGCTCAAAAATAGCATAGATATCCGTTTTCGCACGCATAGGATAAAACCAAACAAAACGCGTAAAGTCATCCACAAACAAAACAAAATAACGAAAACCATTAACAGAGGTAATTGGCGCAGGGCCCCAAATATCAGTATAAACGAGTTCTAATACACGAGTACTAGAAGTAGCAACACGAGGTAATGGAAAACGGGAAGATTTCCCTAACTGACAAGACGAACAAACATTCGACAATTCACTAGAATTAAATTGACTAACACCAGACAACTGTAAAATTTGACGCAGAACTCGTGTGTATGGATGACCAAGCCGCTGGTGCCAAGTAGAAGACGAGACACGTGCAGCAACATTAGCAGACGGACTACGACAGGAAACAGGCCAAGTATATAAACCGCCCGACGCGCCCCCCTTAAAAAGCACCTCCTTGGTCAAGAGATCCTTCACAAGAAAATACTCAGAACGAAACTCAAAAAAGACACGATTATCCCTAGCAAAACGCTGAACAGAAAGCAAAGAGGACGACAGGCCAAGGACATGCAAGACATCATTTAAATGAAAAAGCTTACGAGAAGAGGCTATCGAAGCAGTACCAACACTAAGTATATTCATACCTGTACCATTGCCAACCCGGAGAGTGTCAGAACCATCATAGCCAGCAGCGGAAGTCAACACCGAGGAGTCAGGTGTATCATGGTTCGTGGCACCCGTGTCAGGAAACCACTGATGAGAATCAACCGAGCCACCCACATCTCCGGAATAAGCCATGTGAACCTGAGGACCGGGTGACTCAGAATACCTACGGTAGCAAGTCAACGCGGAATGCCCTTGCTTATCACAAATCTGACATCGCACATCGGACCGACCCCGACCCCGGCCTCGGCCTCCTCGGCCACGGCCACCACCTGAGCCACCGCGACCCGAGCCACCACCGCCCGAGCCACCACTGCCCGAACCACCACGATTCTGCCCGCCATTCATGCGGCCGCCACCACGACCGCGGCTCACGGCCATAGCTGCCGGCGATCCAACACCACCGCCGCCGGCTGCGCAAATCCATTCCTGGGAAGTAAGGTAGTCCGACAGCTCGGACAACGTCACCGGAGAGCCACGCATCAAGGGTGCAACGAGCGGACGAAGCTCCGGCCGCAACCCGCGAAAAACATATATATTCTGATCATCCAGCGTGATCGGACGGCCGGCAAGCGCCAAGTCTTCTACAAGCATCCATGCTCGACCGAGATAGCCCGAGACAGAAGACTCCCCCTGAGTGAGAGCTTGCAACTCGCCAAGAAGCCGCAGGGCTCGAGACCTTGTCGCCGATCCGAGTTCCTGTTCGATGGCCAACCGCAAGGCACAGGAGGTGGTTCGACCAACAGCCATGTGCATCATCTCATCGGACAACGACGAAATTAAAAGAGACAAGATGGCCTTGTCTTGCCGACGCCACTCCGAAGCCGAACCCGACGCTATGGCAGTGCTGCTGTCCGCCGTGGACTCCACCGGCGTTGCACCGGTCGGACAGGCGTGCGTACCATCCACATAACCAAGGAGACCCTGCCCCTCCAAGAACGGAAGCATTTGAGTCCTCCAAAATAAATAATTGTGAACGTTAAGCTTAAGCGAGACGAAGTGATGCGCCGAAGATAGACTCGGAACCGGGTGGGGATGAACGGGAGCAACCTCGGACACAGTCCGTTCAGTAGATTCGCGAACAGAACCGTCATTGTTGTCTCCCATGGAAAAAACCTGGAAACTGATACCAGATGAGGATTTGATTATTGAATATTATTGAATCCAAAAACAACTGAGTCTGAACAAGTGATAATATAGAGAGTAGATAAAGAGTCCTAACGAACAACTAATATAAGAGTCCTAATATAGACCATAACAAAAAGTATATTTTAATATACTAAAAGTACATTATTTATGTACTAAATATACATTATATAAAAGAATGTACTTTACTACTTTTGTTATCGGGATATAAATTTTGTTTAGATATTTCGATATAAATTTGGTGTAATTGAACATTATTTCTATAAAAAAAAAATAACATAAAGTTAAAGAAAAAAAACACTTAAAACTTTTGAATATCCAAAATAAAATTGAAATAACATCAATTCTGTCTGACAGAACAAGCTCGCACCTACTAGATATTATCATCATTAGCATTTGCATGTTAATATGAAGAATAAATTAAATTTGAATTTCAAGTAATATAATTTTTTTTTTATAGAAATTACTAAATTATTAAATAAGAAGTAATAATTAACTCAACACTCTCACAAAAGGGTGGAGTAAATCTCTTCCCAATTCATAAAGAGATGTGTAGTTCATCATTAACACTATATATGCAAATCCGAGCATTAAGCTCCCCTTTTATATAGGAGCCCGGCCATGCTCTCTTGAAAATAAAATTAGAAAGGTATGATATCTATTAGGACTCTTATATTAGTTGTTCGTTAGGACTCTTTATCTACTCTCTATATTATCACTTGTTCAGACTCAGTTGTTTTTGGATTCAATAATATTCAATAATCAAATCCTCATCTGGTATCAGTTTCCAGGTTTTTTCCATGAGAGACAACAATGACGGTTCTGTTCGCGAATCTACTGAACGGACTGTGTCCGAGGTTGCTCCCGTTCATCCCCACCCGGTTCCGAGTCTATCTTCGGCGCATCACTTCGTCTCGCTTAAGCTTACCGTTCACAATTATTTATTTTGGAGGACTCAAATGCTTCCGTTCTTGGAGGGGCAGGGTCTCCTTGGTTATGTGGATGGTACGCACGCCTGTCCGACCGGTGCAGTGCCGGTGGAGTCCACGGCGGACAGCAGCACTGCCATAGCGTCGGGTTCGGCTTCGGAGTGGCGTCGGCAAGACAAGGCCATCTTGTCTCTTTTAATTTCGTCGTTGTCCGATGAGATGATGCACATGGCTGTTGGTCGAACCACCTCCCGTGCCTTGTGGTTGGCCATCGAACAGGAACTCGGATCGGGGACAAGGTCTCGAGCCCTGCGGCTTCTTGGCGAGTTGCAAGCTCTCACTCAGGGGGAGTCTTCTGTCTCGGACTATCTCCGTCGAGCACGGATACTTGTAGAAGACTTGGCGCTTGCCGGCCGTCCGATCACGCTGGATGATCAGAATATATATGTTTTTCGCGGGTTGCGGCCGGAGCTTCGTCCGCTCGTTGCACCCTTGACGCGTGGCTCTCCGGTGACGTTGTCCGAGCTGTCGGACTACCTTACTTCCCAGGAATGGATTTGCGCAGCCGGCGGCGGTGGTGTTGGATCGCCGGCAGCTATGGCCGTGAGCCGCGGTCGTGGTGGCGGCCGCATGAATGGCGGGCAGAATCGTGGTGGTTCGGGCAGTGGCTCGGGCAATGGTGGCTCGGGCGATGGTGGCTCGGGTCGCGGTGGCTCAGGTGGTGGCCGTGGCCGTGGAGGCCGAGGCCGGGGTCGGGGTCGGTCCGATGTGCGATGTCAGATTTGTGATAAGCAAGGGCATTCCGCATTGACTTGCTACCGTAGGTATTCTGAGTCACCCGGTCCTCAGGTTCACATGGCTTATTCCGGAGA